CAAACATTTCTCTAAGTAATACTAGTTTATCAGAGCAACTGTTACATTCCAGAAATAAAGTGATCATACTATATGGTAGTTATAGATTGTGGCTCATAGGTGAATTCGGGAATATTTAAGATTCGTCGGCTGCAAGCACTTACCTCCTAGTTAGTAACGTTTTCCCCACTGGCTACCGTTTTTATCCACTTTCTGCAAGAGCTTCATATTTTAAGTAGCTCTTATGAAGTATAGGAAGGGCATATACGGATGGGAATATACGAGAGATTTGTTAGTTTTCAAAGTAGATAGTTGTCAGAAGGCGACACCACCAAGTGCTTATTTACACTTGAAACTGTGATAGACAGCGGATGCATGATGTTTAAGTCATTTTATGACTTACTTATAGTGTTATACTCATCTTTATAAAAAGAGATACTTGTGTTCTGTGCAATTTCTAAAACCTAACCAGTTTTGGAGTGAGAAAAAGCAAGTTTTAACCAACAAGTATGTATAAATGGATTCACAATGTACAGCGACTCAGAAAAAAGTGCCTCACATCGTTTCTCTAACTCCTACATGTTTGCTAATATTTGATGTTTATTTTGCACATCGATGAAATGTTAACCACTAGCGTGAATGCGTGATGTGCACTTTAAGTATTATCCTCACATAGGCTGATGACAATATACCATCTATTTTCGTACCGTTGTAGTCATTTTAGACTAACTGTAGCCGGTAAAAAACCATGAAAAACAAAACTTGTCGGTGTGTTCCATAGAACACATTATCTAGTGATGGGACTGTATAATGCGAGTACTGATTATTGATGTTTTGATGTTTATTTTCATCATGATACTGATAATTGATCAGTATCCTTTGCATCAAATGTCGACAACCTACTGCAAACATTAGAAATGAAATTTTGAAATTTATGAGAAAAAGTAGTGCCATTTGGATTTATGTTAAAAGCGCTACATGTAGGTTAGTTCTCAGTGCAAATAGTTATTTATATTACTATTTATTGATATACTTGTAATTCTCTGTTGTTTTATTGGATCGAACTGTTCGACCTCTGTTGGTATAGGGGCTCCTATGTGGATGCCTCGATACTGATAGCCATAAACAACCGAATTACCAGTCACTTATATGGTTAAGAGTTAGTTCACGTCGATTTTTAGAAATTCTAAGTTCATTTCGCATCAACTCCCTGACCAGAAGCGTCTCATTAACTGTTGAAAGATGGGCTATTTCATGTTACAGGTCATCACTACGAGTTATCACCTATCCTCAAAGCAGCGGGATACTAGTGGTTAGAGTCTTCAAATAAGTTCTAAACCTCTGTACAATTCACTGAGGCATTAATTTAAAGAAGTATGAAATATTCTGAGTGTGTTTTACATATGTAAAGGTTTCTGAGGTTTGAAAATGTAGTTGGATGCATTCACTGACAGGATGTTGGCTCATGATAAAAGGTGTAGACTTTCGGAATCATTTATTGCGTCGACGGGGTAAAATATATCTGTATAATTCAAAGCCTGGTAAACTGTAAACTCCGAGAAGGGTAAGGGCATTTTATTTCACTGGATCCAAGTAATTAGTTGACAAGAAAAGAGCTATTATCCCTCCTCTTAAACAATTTGGGCAGGAAAGTCAGTAAATGATGTTTTGAATTAGAAAAAAAGACAACATTCACATCTTAACTAGACAAGACAAGAGCTGAAAGTACAACGTCCTACAAAGTAATCATAATAATGAATAGTAAAACTTATTGACAGAATGACATTTAATCGATGCACTTTATGTCTCGGTATCCATTTACATTGTGATAAGTTGTTTACTTTGTCAGTGTACAGTCACATTCTTGAAAATTGTAGTTAACTGTTTCAGATCTAATCGGTTTTCGTCTGAATTCTCAAAGTAGGTAGACGCTGAGATTAAGAAGGATCGCAAGTTTACAGCAGAACATATTCAACATGCTCAAGACAAACTTTATGGGGGAATATATGAGTAGTGTATTTTATCGCCCTCATCAGATAAAAGTATGGCACACTTATGAATTCCCTAGTCCATTTGCATGTCCATACCCTCTTTATATTAGAAATTAGAATAATATCCTTTGGTAATCCTATATCATTCACAAAAATTTGTTTTTCACCCGAGTCACTTTCTGTATCCGGCTGACTGGAAGCGAAATAAGTGGTAAGTTTAACCTCCAGTCAGTTTATTTACCAAGTTTTTAATCCAGAGATGTTTCGTCTTTGTATTCATGGGACCAGAATTGCTGAGAAAAAGCAGTCTTTATTGATGTGTGAGTCAGGTATAAACACAAATTTGACACCAATCACCGACCTATGAATTCAACCATTAGGTTGTTTAATATTTACAGAGCCATGATTACAAAGCATATACTGGATGGAATAGTTCTTACTTATGGTCTGACTAGTACATTGTTTTTATCGTCTAAGTAGTTAAACCATTGTGTTTGTAGACCAGAATGTTTTCCGTCAACATATCAACTCAATATATGGTGTCTTGGTGGCCTGGTGGGTAACACTTTGGCTTTTCAAGCGAGGGGTATAAGGTTCAGGCTTCGGTGGGAACAACATCAGTCATGGGATTGCAGTTACACCCGGCCAACAAGTTCCAAATAGGATGAGACGAGCGTTCTTGATTTCGCTGCTGGTCACAATTAAGTCAGTCATAGCATGACAGCAATTAAGAATAATTTACTGGAAGATGCACATTGGAGTCAGATGATTTACTTTGTTGGACTGCTTATAAACATAACATGTGAACAATGTAATCTATTACAATACTGAGGTACATAAGTAGTATTACTAATTGCTTGTTTTAGTCTCTTACTCAGTCAACTGAAATTCAAGGTTGTACTTATTCCCTTGCTATTTAATTTTTCTGTTTTAATTTCCTTTTTTAGTGCATTGGTATCTACCCATGCCAAGAGGTCAAAGAAAGGATTTGGATGAGACTTAAGTTATCTCTACGTATGCTTGTTAGCACTAGTCAGCAAGACATGGCTGCAACCTAAAGGAAACTCACCTATTTTATGAGGTTCGAACTTGCATCATCCAGTGCTACAATTGGAGATGCTACTACTGAGCTACTTGGATCGTGACTGACCTCCAGCTGGAGTGATTTAGGCACTAGCGCCTCTGGAATTAGTGATCAACGTATCTCTGACCATATTCCGTTTCTGTATTTTATTTTATTGGTAGTCAGACAATTCTTCGAAATCTTGGTAAACTACATATCTTAAATTAGGCTCGATAAATGCTTCCATGTCTTCCACATGTAATTTAGGCATCCCAGACTAGGTGATGTCAAGTTGGCGAACATCTCTTCATTCAACACTGATTGATGAATCCTTGTTCATTCAGTCCCTTGAAGTTAAAAGCACTCTAATATATATATATATATATATATATATATATATATATATATATATATATATATATATATATATATATATATATATATATCACTATCAGGCATTTAAAAAGGACTAAAAGGGAAAGATAGTTAGTGAACAAATATTTTCTTCGCAATACAGTCTCATTTGCATGAAATAGCGCAAAGATTTAAGTTCAGGATAAGTCAGATATCAGAATGCAAATGAGAGTTTGCCTATAGAAGCAAAATCACTTTCTGGTTACATATCTTGAACAAAGTTGTGAGACATCTTAGTTAATCTAGATGAAATAAACGAAATAGGATTACTGTCGTGTTTATATAAAATTTCCCAATACATGTGATGCTTTTTTTCTCAAGCAGATCACCATGAAATTTTATATTTTCTAATATTTCCTTTTGTAATGTGTTTCTCTGCTTATAAGACATCAGAAATCTTAAAGCTTGAAATATATACCATCAAAAGACACTATCTATTAGTATTAGTATTTTCAACCAATTCCCATTAGATTTTGTTGTAATATGCTGGGATTGTTCAGCATAGAAATAGATCAGGTTTAAGACAAATTCATTTTCTTAAGTGGGATATGAATTAGGAATTGTAAGTAGGTTGGTTATCTATTCCTTACTTTTTCAACGTTAATAAAATCTATATACGTCTCAAGAATGTTATTATCGAAGAAAGAAAGAAGATAAACATGAACTTTAAGAGAAATGGCTTCTGGTTTACTGAAGAACAATGGAGAATTAACATATGAACTTGTTACTTTTGGGTGTACAGTTCGTGTTAGGTCGATGTTATTGGTACGGCTTGTGGCATGACAAGAAAAGCGTTGATAATTTAAAGTGGTTGTGCCTTCAGGATAAGACGTATGAGTTTTAAAGTTATGTAAATACTTATATGGTGTCATGTGTATACCGAGGAATTTATATATTTCATATGAACTATTGTTTATAACAATATAAGTGACAGATCTAAAACATCGAATTGATAGAGTAGCCTGAAGGAAATTTAAACCTATGACCAACATCATTTTTTGAGCTAGTATAATTTAACTAGCACTGAGCATTTATTTGGTGCAGATGAAACTGACAAGTATTACTTACGGTCATTTAATACACCAGTAAAATAACGAATTTCTACCTTAATGGTGAACACATCAGCGCTCAGTCGCATTGTATTTGGCTGTGGAAATCTGAACTACTATGTTAAAGGAAATAAATGTCTTGTCCATCCTACATAATAAATGTTTGAAGTCAATCAACATGCTTTTTAGTGTTTCTCAAAACTTTAGTAAAGCTTCAGTCAAACAAACAGTAGTTCACAAACCAACTGGTATTCTTTCCTATTTTTGATTTATAATGCGATTAGCTAACTATCACTCTTTTCTTACCTACACTTTGACTACTACACGGAAATCCTTGATTCTTAAGAGTAATTAAGGTCTAGTATTTAAAGGTAAAAACATTTTGTTTTGCTTTGCTTCCTCAAGAGAGTTAGCATCTAAGTGATCATGCTTCATAAATGCATATTCACGCATAATGTTTCATGTTTACTGATTTTGGGTGTCTATTTCAAAATTTACATTTACCTTGTGAAGAATGATGCAGCAGCTGAAATTTGTGTTACTGAAGCTTGCCTAATCCCATTGTTATCTTCACTGGACAGATTGACATTCTTCCCCTGTTCATCAGTCTGATTTTTGTCACTTTCATTTTTCAAACTGACACTAGTCTCCAGTCTTTGACGCGTATTGACAATAGACGGATGGATGTCACCCCCTTGATTAATTGACTGATCTTCAGAACGTGATTGCATCTGAAAAGTTATGCAAATTGAAATAAATATGTGATCAAATTAATAAATTTTCTTTTCATAAGGTTGAATGAAACGATAAATGAATAAATTTCATAATAAATCAGTGTTCACAATGGTTTCTTTTTACACTTTTCGTCTCCCACAATTTGCAGAAACACGCACACATACATATGCCTCTATCCAAGTCATTTTGACATGTGATTCACCACTGAGTAAACTAACAGAATTTCTGTTTACAAACTGACAGAGAATTTCATTTATCTTCATTATCATATTTTTAAGTTAATTTCAGTGAAATAACGTCAGGGTTCATTGAATTAAATTCAATGTTTCTCACTATCTTTCTATCTATCGCCAGTTTAGTCGTCTTGACCGGCTTCTTCCTCGTTTTCTACTTCTCTTACTGGAATTTTCTTTTAAAAAGAAGGGGGTAAAATACTGTTAATGACATTTTTCATAGTTAAAAAGTGTATTTCATTCAATGCAATAAATCATAAAACAGTCTCCCTCTTTCTCTTACTTTTCATTCTTCACTAAAGAAATATTACTATATTTACGTGAAAAGCTTTTTTCTCTTATTTTTACCAAGTCAGTTGGTAATCAATATCACGCAGACAAATGACGAGTAAATTATCATGATGAATTCTTATGATTGTTATAGTACATAAACTAGGTGTAAGAAATCTGTAAATAGATAGGTTTTTCCTGATTTATTTGAATTATTCGCTGCGAATCGTGAAGTTTACAGTAATAAATAAAATGAAAGCTTGACAAAAGTAAAAAAAATTTTGTCTGAATCAAGATAATTGTCTTTTCATCAGAATGCATGTAGACAGATTTCTTGGAAGGCAGTAAAACTGATCCGAAAAGTTTCATTGATGAAAATTCATTTGAATAATACTTTAAAAGATTTAACAATGATTATTTGTCACCAATTACGCTGTTACACAAGAAATAAATGATCATTATCTACTGGAATAAGTTTTGGTTGATAAACCAGGACATATCTAAGAGAAAATCAACGGTGTTCACATAAAGATATGGTGTCAGTACAGAAACTCTGTTTTCTCTGGTGTAAGATATACACAGAAGCAGAACATTATTGAATTAAAAACTGTTCAAAATGTGTTACAGTCGTATGTTTCAGCATACTTTTGATATTTTAATTTGTTACGTCGAGTATTCAGTAGTCATACCTACTCGTTTTGTTTATTGGCCCTTTGCTGTGGCTAATACTGATCTAGTGCTCATTGGTGACTAGCTTCAAGAGGTGATTCCCTAACCCTAACCCTGGTGGCTGTGAGGACAAATACTTAACGATGATATTGGGTGATGGTCGTGCTATGCCGTGAACTGAAAGCAATTTGGAATATTGACCAATGAATTCCGACTAAATGGCCCAATGGTAACGTACTGGCCGTAGAACCTGAAGGTCCTGAGTTCTATCCCTGGCGAGGCAGGGTTATGGGTGAGCACTGCTGAGGAGTCTATACTATGGCAAGGTGGCTGTTTAGCACTCCCAGTTTTCTACTATTCCTCCAACTGATGTCGGATCGTGATAAATACCAACTTGAAAAATGCTGTTTTCATTTTGTTGGTATTTTGTTCCCTAATTTCTACTTTTCTGCATTCATTTGAAGTATCCAGAGTCTGTATGCTACAAATATATTTCCATATTAGTTTTCCACATCCATATTAAGTAACTCCACAACTTTCAGGCAGTTTATATATTTCTAATCCTCTCTCCTTCTTTGTAACGAGGGTAGTAGAATCTCTCATATATCTGGGACAAACACAGAATCATTTCTACTACTGCATGCATTTGGTATTGATTCGATAAACAAAGATTCGGTGATCAATCTCTCTCCATCCAACTAAGTTAGGTTTTAATGCTTCTGCTCTTTCCCATCCTCGTGTATGATTGTTTGTAATTGTCAGCGTAGCTATATACGAGATCTCCTCTAAATTTCTTATTTGATCAAGATCTACTAATTTTGATTTAGCTCACATTTTGTGCTCTGTTATTCCAACTGATTCTGATTGACTACTCTGACCCATATATTTGATCTCGCAATCAGTGCAAGGGATTTAGTAAATCAAATTATTTTGCCTAATTGCATCAGTAGGATCTTTTAACCTATAAAGCCTGTTTCTCAGCGAGTTTGTTCGTTTAAATGCTACTTTAATATCAGCCTTGATGAGAATTCTTCGTAACTCTTCCAAGGTGCTCACTTTGTATGGTGGCACAGTAGAGACTTGGAATTCTATCTCACTCCTGTTACCATTATTACTACCATTATTACCTGATATGAATACGGACGATAAATTCTATGAAACTTAATCCAATAAATAGTAGTGTCTCATTGTGTGATATTTTTAATAAACAGACTAAAATAGAATTACAATCTACCACAGTGCCCGGGTTTTACTCCTATATTAGCATTCAGCATTGTTCATATCCTTTTACCACCTAAATCGACCAAACCTTAAAATGACTCGTAGCATTCACCGTTTTGTGCAAAAGTCTCACTTCATGTCCACTGCATAATTCATAAGCTACTTTCGAGAAAGTTGATGTTTTCAACCTATGCAAACTAGGTTCTCTAGCTGATAAAAATGATGCTGTTGCATATATTCTTGTGTGAAAGTCAGTAAAAAGCATGTAAAATTTTACGCTTAGTAGGTGGAAAATATCATAGGGTGAAGTTTGCATTTCTAGATTTCTGTAGTAGATCAAAATACCAGAGAGAAACTGCTTTTTGATCTTTTCATTTTTTCGTTGTTTATCATGACATATTAGCTCCTCAAATGACTATCTTGATATTACTTCAAGTTTCGTCTTGATATGTTTGTTTAGTAATGACTAGCAGCGGAATTCAAGACATGCGCTTCTTCCTATTTCATATTTGTCAGACGAATTTATTTGCCTCTCAGTGGCTGACAGTGTTTCCCGACAAACTGAAAGTAGCATACATTGCTTCAGACTCAGTTCGATTATTTCGATGAGAACTTCACAATTTCTGAAATCATTTAAGATCCCTTCAATTCACTTAAATTCAGGGTTTCAAATAGAATAATGTTTTCAGGGATTCCTAAGCGTGTTTAGCCCATGTTAAATGTTTCTTCTTTTTGGAACACGAAATTCAACATCAAAATTATAAAGTGACAAACTTTGTTAAAACTAATGTACCTTTACTATTTATTATAAAACTAGTTTGAAAACCCTAAGGAGTCACTGAAAGAGCTTTATTGCTGATGCACATTCAGAGTATAGCTCTCACTGAAATAAATGTTGGTAATCTTTACTGTGTAACATGCCGTTTCTGCCTATGATGCAAATGGACTTCAATCCGTGATATGTATTGGATATAGTTAAACTTATACTTGGTGGTGATTTAAGGTGGAATGAAAGTTTAGACCGCAGCCAGATTCGAACTGGCAATCACTGGGTTCCAGCCCAATGCTCTAGCAGCTGAGTTAAGAGGACTTCGTATTTCAGTTGGTAGAGAATCCGGCTGGAAACCCAGTGACCACTGGTTTGAACCCCGACTGCTGTCCAAATCTTCATTTCACATACAATCGTCAACCAGTATAAATACCAGTCTGCCAAACTACAGCTATCTTGGATATTCAAATGATAATCATTATAGTTATATGAATAACTATTAGGTGATGTAACAAAATGTTTTCTGGCAGCAAAAATTGGCCGATGTTTGAGATCATATTTCAAAACGTTTTTGCAAACTACCACTCTAGTAGACTACAACCAGATGAACATCTTCAGTGTTGCCTCGGCATTGGTGGGTTGCAAATCATAGTTATGGATCTATCCACAGTTCTCATTTGATGTACAGTCAACTTGTTTTTTTAGATTGTAAAAATTGACAACTACCGATGACAATAAATATCAATAATTTTATTTTGTAGTTTGACTGCACACGGTAGCTTCATTTAATACGTTTTATTAGGAAAGTAACCTGTCAACTGTGGATATTTTAGATAATCTAATTATAAATGTTGTGATTATCTTGAATTACCAGTAATGTTTTCAGTGTCAATAAACAATAATTCACTGGTGTATTGTTCTGCTAACTTACCTTCAACTCTTTGGTAAAGTGAGGAAAAGTGATAGAAAATGTGAATTGAAAATGAGTTTGACTGACTGCTGAGTAATGAGAAAATAATATGATCGGCCTTTTAGGGTAGGCAAATCTCGGGCAAAATATTGAAGCAGTCATAGTAACCAGAAGAAAATACTATTCTGCAGTTCAAGGAATTCTTTTACGTAAATATAACCTGGTTAATATACTACGCCTTTGTTTCAAAGATAATAGTGATCAAAAGAAAATGACAAATCAAGGGCTTCCTACCGACTGTTTACATCTAACTAACGTCTATGTAGTGCACCACGAGGTTGGGTCTCGTGGCTTGGGGGCCATAATTCAAAGTGATTGATAGAATTCTGTCAGCACTATGGAGATGGCAACATGAATTTGGCTGCCCTCCAGTGACCAGTCAGTGTAAACAGCCCAGTCTTACAGGAGGTGAGTCGTGGTAAGGGTAGCTCATTTGGAAGTTACCGGGTGTGGCATGGGATGACGTTCATTCTAACCCTAGATGAGACTCCAGTGCTGTCGAGGATGCGGTGGCGCTTTGCTGACAGGTACCAAAAGGCATGAAACCTAGGTGGTAGGCTATCTGCCACTTGCCTCCGTCTAACTAAGAAATAACAGTGAATATTTAGAAGTAATTTGTGCCAGTTTAGTCCATATTTCAAGATATTAGATAAAAAGACAATGAATTGTGTGCTACAACCTATTAACCTAATCGTGAATTGGATATAAGGTTGAAGTTGTCTGCCTATTAACATATTCGCATGGTCATGATAATGGATGCAGATTAAATTTAATAAACTACTATCTAGATGACGATAACTGTTGATAAACTTTAAAGTAAATCCTAACTATGAGTGCTAACAACACACCACAAACATATGGATC